AGGATGGAGATGTTGTATTGAACGAAAGAGCGAGATGAAAATACAACAAATCTAAAACGCTACACTAGTGATCTATTCAATGTGAAAATTATTTGACTAGGACAGAAAATAATGTTTAACACAGTACAAAATAACTGTACGTAATAATAAAACAAATGTTTTAGAGCAATAAAGTTCTATACAAAATTATAGTACTTAAATATTTTAAATAACGTTTGATTAAAATACTAAGGATATGAATACAAATCAATTTCTCACCTTATATTTTTAAAATGTGATAGTAATTAAAAATACGAGTTACAAAATATTTGTGCAATGTTTATTTTTACATTTTACAATGTTTTCCATACAACAGAAGGACTGAATGTCAGATAAATGCCTTCAGAAAAAATTAAAAAACACTTCCAACCAGCCAGTATCTTAAAAAATAATCAGTATATTGCCACACCAAATAAAAATTAAATGGGGAGGCACATTAACTTTTTATCCCGGCAGGTGGCATATCGTCGCTGGTGCCGATTGCTGACCGCTGTCAATTCCATACTTTTTTACCAAAACAAACAAGATTATCTTAATCATCATGACTCTATGTAGTGCTTTTCAATGCAAAAATATAGGAGTAAGTACATCGTTTTCCTGCCGAAGAGAAAAGAAGGAAACAATGGATCAAAGCGTCTAAAAAATTGGAAGCCAACTTCGTCATCTAGGATAAGTAGTAAACATTTCAAGATGACGTTTATGGTGAAAGTAAACATACTGGTAAGATTCATGGTTTCAGTCTAATTTTAAATAACATATAAATAATCTGCAATACTCATAGGATTAAAACATGAAAGCAAAAATTTGAAAAAGGAGCAGTGCCAACGTTATTATCATTTTAGAAAAGGAGCAGTGCCAACGTTATTTTCATTTTAAAAGCCAGAAGATGGCCTAACACTTTAAAGTCAAAGAGGCAGCTGAGATATGAACAAAGACTACTATAGTATACTTATGAAGCTAGAAGTGTTTCAACTTGCGAAACTAATAATCAAACCTATTATGTTTCTTCAAACAGAAACGAAGACATTGAACCAAGTTCTTTCCATATTCGTGCTCCTGAAATAGGCTGTGAAATCGTGATACCAAAAGTAATCGAGAATGCAAATGTAAACTTGACTATGTCTGTCGTCAAACCAAATTCTAACAAACAACCATTCATACATTCATTTCATTCATACAAGAAGATTTGAAGAAGATACAATGATACAACAACCAAAGTCCAGTCCAACATCGTAATCCATATCAAAGTAAGCGTTCCATGATTACATACTAACCCAATACTCTTTAGTTTATAAATCGGTACATAGGTATTTTAGTATTATTTGTAACATCTCTATTATTTGTGTTCCATTCTGTGCACAAATCATATCTTTGACATTACTTGTGTTCAAATAGATGCTCACGATGCTTAATATTGAGTTCCATCTAGGGAACAGTCGTATCTATTGTCAACTGTTAGTTTTAACAGTTGACAGTTACTGTCATTTGGTTTTGCGCACTGACATTTTATTTTGTTATCATTTTTTTTCATATTATTGGTTAATTTCTCAAAACCGCTATATTTTTTCATGCCCCACGAACTTTATTTTCTTATCATTTATTTTGAACGTGTACTGTGTGTGATAATGATAATTAAGTGTTGTCTATTTATAAGTTATTGACAAGGAAACATTTGTTTATTTTAAGTTGACTTTAAAACCTGCAGTAGTCCATTCGATATCAAGTAAGTATTTAGATAATAATCATTATTGATACAAATACCTGAACACATTAGTATTAGTAAGGAGAATTGTTCCCTAGATGAGTTCGTTCAAAGTTTGATTCTAACACGACACTTAAGTTTTTATAAAAAATACAATCTTATTGGAAAAGCTATTCTTTAAAGAGTAGAGTTCTGTTCTTATCATCATAATTGATTAGGTAATGTAATGTACAATATCTTGTCAATTCTCCAATAGACATTCCATTTCAAATTGATTATTATTAGCCATATATGAATAATATGTTTGTAATATGGGACAACAAAAATTAGAGTATATGTTTTATCATTGATTCATTACCTAATTGCATTAGTGCTAAAAATTATTTGCCTTACATTATGGGGGATACATAATATAATCGGTGAAAAGTAGATGTCACATTGAAAATGTCCACCTCTACATATTTATTTTATATAGTTCTATTTATGGGAATGAACCTGTCCTGATGCGTAACATTTAAATAAAATACAAAGTTTATTATGTTTATTCTTGGTTCTGTCTATATGACAGGCCATAAAAATATGTAGTTTATGTGGCAGTTACATAGTTGTGAGTTGTTCCATCATTATTTATTATCATACCATACAGCTATATGTTGATATTTGTTTTAGAGACGGTTAGTGTGATCTGCAAATCATTGTAGCTATTTGTGTGTATGCAAGATCTGATTTTGTAAATGTTGCGGGGGGGGGGGGGGGGGGGTTTAAGCCACATTTAATCAGTTGAAATCCATCCCCTAATAAGGTGTTTAATGTAATGTAATATTAGTGGAGAGCGGTCACCAGTGACCGCTTGGGGATATGTGGGTTAAGAAAAATAACTATTAGAGTATCTGCGAGACAAACAATCCCACACAGTTATAAGTCTGTAAAGTGATTTAAACACCGTTACATAAATTTAACAAAAACATACCGGCCGAATTGAGAACCTCCTCCTTTTTTGGAAGTCGGTTAATAAATATAAATGTTTGGAATTATGCAAGTGTGCACACAGCACACCTTACATTAATCATTCTAGAAATGTCCCCAGCAATGACTTGATGGTGATAACACTTATGATTGATAAGATAAACAAATAGTTACTAACACCTGTGTAAAAAAGTACCTATTTAATGTATAAGTCATGTCAATGTCAATAATAATGTTGTATAATGTTTAATTGACACTCAATCGGGGATTGTACCTGTCATTGCCTGAATTATACTTGGCTAACCAAAAAGAAAATAAACTTTGCCTTTTAATTTTTTACTTAACTTATTATACCTTGTGGAAAGTTAATACTTCCCATCTTCTTGCTTTCATGCAATTAGCAAGTAATTATAATAAAAATATACCTAATATTCTTTTAGCTAGTCTTGTCCATGTTAGCACCATCATAATATCAGGCATAAGGCAGTATCACCTTACACTGACGTTGTATGAAAATATTATTGTATAAAACCAGGCGGGAGTAGGCAGTATATTGATATATTTTCTTCAATGAAGATAATAGAGGTATCACAATGCTTATCCTTTATTATTGCTGCCAGTAACTTGTTGATAAATACTTTAGTACCATTGTGTGAACACAGAAACGATAATTAATAATATCCACTAACCATAGTGTAGTATTAATATATGTACAGTACACCGTGGTAGTGGCCAGTATTGGACATTGTACAGTTCTTCTGAAGGTAATATTATAATTTTTATATGGATTTTATTTAAGTGATTAAAATGTACCTACATATTGGAAATGTTTGTCATGTTTTTAAAAGGCTGGTGTTTTAATAATTATATTAACTCGTCGAGTACCGGTTTTATAGACACAATTAAAGAACAATAGGTCGCGGTCACCGGTGACCGCTTGGTGTTTAACAGTTTAAATATTATATAAATTGTATGTAACAATGAATCAAATTCTTCAGTTTTCTTAAATAATTTTCCTTGAATGATGTAGCTTCACTCCTCACATATAAATTACTGAGAATTGTTCATGAACATTCACTGTGTCTTTTACCTCATCAGAATTGTGGTGTCGGTTTTTTGTGTGTGGAAAGTTCTGTGCTTAAGGTAAATTGTTACTTTTATTAACTCGTCGAGTACCGTATTTATAAACACAATTAAAGAACAATAGGTTGCGGTCACCGGTGACCGCTTGGTGTTTGACGGTTTAATAATTAATTGTGAATATATTTAATATAGCAAAAGATTTGTCACCTCATCCAACTGTTACATCTTGGTTGCCAAAAAGAGAAAAAAAAAACTGTTACATATTGAGACCAATAACATAACCTGATGTTACACTAAAAATATAATCTCTAAAACTAAGTTGAAACATTGATATGCATAATTCTGTTTACTAATATTAAAAACTATTTTCTGTAGGCTACTAACTACTTATATTGAGTCTTATAAAATAAATTGGCTGGAAGTGAGTGCTGCACATAATGTATATAAATAAAAATGAATTCCCGTAGTTAGTCTCGCTAAAAGTAGAGAATGGCTGAACCGATTTGGCTAATTTTTGTCTTGAAACGTTCGAGGAAGTCCAGGGAAGGTTAAAAATGTGAGGGAAAATATTTTGGCAGTACGAAGTTTGCCGGGCCATCTATTATTGTAATGTTTTATTGTGTACCACCGTTTATTAATTTATTGATAAATAAATAAAATACTCCATAAGTGTGTGAATAAATGTTTGCCTGACTTTATCTGTAGTTCAAGTATAATGACTGCATTGTTGACTTATCCTAATGTCGTTGATGTTCTTTTGTTTGCTTTTATATGTGGTTGATGTTATAGGAAAATTATATATAACACATCCAGTGATTATGCACACCATTGTTTGATATACCCAGTATAACTTTGCCCGACCCGGGAATCGAACTTGAGATTCCTTGCCCGGCAGTCGCACTTGCGACCACTCGGCCAACGAGGCAGTTAAAAATCCAATAATAATAATAACCGGAAAATTTAGAATTTCTTCTCAAGTTGCAATGTGCTTACTGCATGAATGATCCCCTACTCTAGTTTCCCATTTTGAACGTGTGCAATATTATTATTCATGACTCATTCACTACTATCAACGGAAACATTATAATATTTACCGAATAACTCCTTACAAACATAGCACACGATATTTTACGGTAACTAACGACATCTGTACGTGCAAGAACTAATTATAATTGTGTAATAATTTATGATCGTTCTCTCGTTTCGTAGGATGCTGCAAAAGTTGTCATTTGGTAGCTGGCGGGTCGTCGGCGCGGCGTGCAGTCTACCCAAAACTAGTGCCACCATCAGAACGTTATCGGCAACCATGGAAAAAGGATCCAACTTCTTTTTTAGACAGGTATTTACCTATTTGAATAATTATTATGTATTTCATAATTATGTTAACAATTGTTTTTTTTTATACTTGAACCAGATGTGCCGTATAAGACATTTATTTACCTTTATAAAAAATATGCTGAATAATGTTTATAATGTTTAACGATAAAAACAAGTCACGGTTTTATTCATCGGATAATTTACTATGAGTGCGTGCTTCTAACGTAATAATTTATTTTGTTGAAAAGGTTTAGGAGATTATGTATCCATTCCAATGTTACTTTTTAAATTATTTATTTAACATGTAAGGCCAATTTTTCTAACCATAGATAAATAATTGAGGAATAACTTTGAATGTTTGACCATTCTCCCGTACTAAAAACTGTCGAATGTCAATTTTATTCTACAGGTAAGAATTAACTGATTATTGAAAAATCAGCTCTTTAAGTAACACCAAGTTAAATAAATTGATTTCCCCATAGTACGAAGTTCACAAGGGAAAACTGGTTTTCAATGATGAGATTTGAGAACCTTCCTACAAGAGTTGATTGGTTAGAGTTACATGCTATCTATATGTGTGAGTTTAACCCTGGAACCTATTTTAAATAAATTCTAATTCTAGAAATGTAAATCTGAACTTCCTCCACAATCTCTGGATTGGTGTCTTTTTACCACATAAACAAACTCCATACCACAGAAATGAGAAATACTATTCTGTCCTCCATACAATGAATGGTAAAAAATTATCTTAATCTAAAGATTTTGCATTGGGATTGATTATTTTTATGGAATAATCTGGTAAACGAGCAGGCAGATCACCTGATGATAAGCAATCGGCGTCGCCCATGGACACTTGAAACACCAGGGGCGTTACAAGTGCGTTACCGGCCTTTTGAGATTAGGATTTTGAGGATTGTTGGTTATTAAGAGATTGGGGAAAGGGATGGAGGGGTAATTGGGCCTCCGGTAACCTCACTCACACGAGTAAAACACATCGCAAGCGTTGTTTCACGTCGGTCTTCTGTGAGGCCGTGGAATCACTCCGGTCGAGCCGGCCCATTCGTGCCGAAGCATGGCACTCTCACACTTGATGATCATTAATTTCGGTACGTCAGCCGATAGAGGTCTTACTAATAACATAAGAGTCTATTTACATTTAATATTATGGTTAACTCACACTCCATAATGGACACATTCATGGTTTATATTTGATGAGATTTTATGTAAACATTTCCTTTTCATTAAATATTATACATCGAAAGTCCCACGATGTGTAGATTAATATTCGTGTGCGAAATGTTCCGATTCCAAAGTTTGAACCAATGAAATACCTACCTACTGTTTGCTCCATTTTATTTTAATAATAATTTGTAATTTTTATGGTAATAGTTTTTTAAATAAATATATTAAATATTAAGTATTTCAAATACCTACCGCGGATCCTGTTTGTGTAATGTATTTTTTTTAATAAGTTTTCTACTCTCTCTGTAGACAAAAGTGGCGTTAGGCTAACGGCACTGGCTATTATAGAGTTACACGCAGAACGTAAACACATGACATTGACATGTCACTTTCTTAAGTCTAGTAACTGACATTGAAGCGAAATGATGATTGAAGCGCTAACGCTTCAATCATCATTTGCCACCTTTTTTTTAACGTCCTTGGTTGGGAGATGCCATGCCGTGTAAAGCTGCACCGCTCACCGCTTTATTAGTTCATATAAATACTTATTGATAAAACCTCCTTTATTAGTTTATGTTATCGATGTCGTCGATGGAAATGGCATTGTTCTCGCAACAGTAGCAGGCTTCTATTATTACGATAACATAAACAATCTCTTCTTTATTATTGTTATAAGTTTTATGCGACCTATTCAAGTGTATTTTATATAGGTACTTTATCATTTAACATATACGGTTTGATTACAAAATCCATTCAACTATGATATTGATTAGATGTAAATAAGTGATTTTGTAGTATATTAGTTCGACCCCCTTTTTTTTTCGAAAGTAGTAATTGAAGAATTTATTAGTTTTGAAATTAATTTAACTCGTCGAGTACCGTATTTATAGACAAAATTAAAGAACAATAGGTTGCGGTCACCGGTGACCGCTTGGTGTTTGACAGTTTAAACTGCTACAAATTCTGAAATTACGTTTTGGACTGGTAGCTTACGTACTAAAGAACTATGAAAATAGCGGTCCCATAGCTGCTTTATAAGCAACAATTTCTAAGAAAAAGTTTCCAATAAAAACGTCCAATTCCACGTCGCATTATAGAAACTAAGAAAAAACATCATGAGATTATCATGCAACATCTTGAGAAATCATACACATTATTAAGTTGAATATGAAACTGAAAATCAAACCGTAAATCCTGGGAATAAGGGCTATATTAATTTGTGGTAACAATCCTATTGATTAATAATTAATATTACGAGATTGATGACATAATAGAATCGCTTAAACAAGCCCCTATTTCTAGTAATGAGTGCAAAAGATTAGTGTTATAAACATTGATTGAGATTGATAGTACTCATTGATTAACTTCCCAGGGAAATACGTATGATGTAATCTTATATTTTATTACCTAATCTTGACTTAGCTACAGCCTAAGAAATTGCACCCCGCCCTAACGAAGTTGGCGTTAAGTATACAATGTATTTACCTTATCTAATACATTGATAACATATAAACTCTCACAGATATCGACTGTGTAATTGTCATGGTTATTTTGAGGTAGATAAAGAGCTATCATATCAACATCATAGGCAATTTGATATCATATCACATAATACACCTTTTTTGTTTTGATTGCCTCATTGGCCGAGTGGTCGCAAGTGCGACTGCCGGGCAAGGGGTCTCGGGTTCGATTCCCGGGTCGGGCAAAGTATTACTGGGTTTTTAAAAATCTCAGTAGTAGCCCGGAGTCTGGAAAAATGTGCCCGGTATATGGCAATAGGCTCAACCCCTATTACATGGGACTCATAACATAAATAGTGAAAAGTGGGTGTTACATTGTACAGTGGCATTAAGTGCCGAAATGTGCACCTCTGCCGACCCCTTCGGGGATAAAAAGGCGTGATGTTATGTTATGTTTTGTTTTGATGGCGGGGAGAACCTTTAAAATGTTTCTAGCTTTATATGGGGAGAAAGACTCATAATATACCAATGTACTACTCATAATACTCATAGTATGTATGAATAACATGGTTCCTCAATTTTATTCTATAGTAATGCTAGATTACGTAATAGGCTTTAATGTTGTAAAGGGCCGCAAACTTGCTATTGTGTAGCAAGTTTGCGTCTTCAAAATAAGTATTTTTAATATGATCTTGATAAAAATGCTAATTGACAGAAAAGTACTGAAAACCCAACCTTGCTGACAACAATAATAAAATGCAACTGTACCAATAATAAAATGCAACTGTACCAATGTGTTTAGGGCTGATACGGAGCCGCGGAAAACTTAATGGGTTGCCGGGGCTCCGGATCGAAGAGCAGGAGTAGTTTTTAGTCAGTAAGAATCTGACAAACCCATCTCGCTTCACCTAAGACAGGGCGGACTCATTGAATGATTTGTGCCCCTTAGAAATCTATATGTTTGTTATTTACACTATCTTTAGCTGCAGGCAAGACACAGGGTTCTTATTGAAAACTAGGCAGTTTATGCTGCTATCCTAGCAGGTACAGTTACTACATAGCTACATAGCTATAGTGTACAGTTGCTGTTACTACATAACTATAGTGAAAAACTGTTCATTAAGGATAACTAAAAGTTTAAGCAATTTATTTTTCCTAATTTTCAGTTGTTCGACACAGTGAGCAGTACATACACGTACTTACTGGGTGATACCAAGACGGGAGACGCGGTGCTCATCGACCCCGTGCTGGAACATGCGGAGAGAGACGCTGCGCTCATCAAGGAGCTGGGCTTCAAGCTGGTTTATGCACGTGAGTATATTTATTGTCACGTTGTTATTAATCTGTTTCTGAACAAAACAGAAATCAATGGTCACTATAGCTTTGCATCTCAGTCAAACAGCATTAACATGTTGATACAGTGAGTCAAGTTATTTGTTACACACACAGGGAAAATACATTTTAGTACCTTCGTATTTTCTTTGAGTCTGGAAATGTGCCCGGTATATGGCAATAGGCTCATCCCCTATTACATGGAAACCGTAACATATATAGTGAAAAGTATTACATTGTACAGTGGCATTAAGTGCCGTAATGTGCACCTCTGCTTACCCATTCGGGGTATTTTTTAATGGGATAAGTCGGTAAACGAGCAGACGGATCATTTGTTGGTAAGTAATCGGCGTCGCCCATGGACAACCGGAACATCAGAGGCGATACAAGTGCGTTACCAGCCTTTTGGAAATTAGGAATTTGAGGATACTCTGGATCTGAAAGTTACAAAATGCATATTAATTTTCAAACTGAGTTCTATAGTGCACAATTTTATTTATTTCCTACAATGTTCTCTTGTGTTCAATTTGCTAATTAAGTGGTGATTCATTTAAGGATAGTTTACGAATGTCTATAACCAAATGAAATCGTTCTCCTCTTGTATTTTCCCTTCCTCCATATTCGTCGATTATAGAGGCCAGCACACCAACCTTCTCCAATGTGTCGATTTTGTCATTGGGTTTTCGACTGTATATCTAAAGGATAGAGTTGACAGTCTAATAGAGACAGTAAAGAGTAGGTTGACCTGCTGCGCACTGTACATAATAATATACAATTTTCTACTCGTGCCGACTCATATAGTAATCTCGACCTTCAACAAAACTGAGGAAATATCTAGTTACTAGTTGAATTGTATTTATTGACTTATCTCGTATTCTTAGTATTCCTAGTTTCCTCCATTTTGTTATGAAATACGATATTATGGTATTCCTCAAATTCCTAATACCCAACAGGCCGGTAACGCATTTGTAACGCCTCTGGTGTTCCGGGTGTCCATGGGCGACGACGATTGTTTACCATCAGGTGATCCAAATGCTCGTTTACCAATAAAAAATCCACAGTCTAGATCACTATATTAATAATACTAATCAACACAACCAAAATGATATCTTCTATCTGTTCTAATTTCCAGTGAACACCCACATGCACGCAGACCATATAACAGGCACGGGCAAGCTGAAGTCCATACTTCCCGACACGAAGAGTGTGATCGGCAAGGCGTCAGGTGCTGCAGCCGACGTGCACCTCGTGGACGGTGACGTGGTCACCTTCGGAGAACACAAGCTGTTGGCTTCAGCCACTCCCGGACATACCAATGGATGCTTAACTTATATCTGCCATGAGAAGGTGGGTTTTTCTTATGTTTGGTGTATAATGCTAGTGGTAATTTTTCATTAGCGTGTCTTTTTGTGCATTTTGGTACTAGAGGTAGATTTTTTTTTATATTTGATGGGCCATTTGACCACGATCTCGCCTGGTGGTAAACGATGATGCGGTCTACGATGGAGCTCGTCGTCCCATAAGCAACCTATTCACTCGGGCCTTGAAGACACCCAGGTTATACCCTTCAGGAAATACAGATTCTGGCAAAGAATTCCACTCCTTGGCAGTATACACAAGGAAGTTTGATGCGGAGCGCTTCGAGCGTGTGGGTGGGACCTGGGATATCTACCATGAATCGGCGGCGCTTCGCCGATAGCCTTGTGGTATGATGATGACGATTTTAATACGCGGATTACAATGATTTTGAGACATTTTATCAAATTGAGTTATGATTCTGGGTGTTACACCTTTTATTAAAATGATTCGGTATAATGAGTGTAATGTAAACCTTAATTATATTTTTTACTTTTAATGTTCTTAGATGGTTTTACTAATCAGAATGTTTTGCTTTAAAATAAATTATTCACTTTAATAGAATTTTTATTTTTCAAGTCTCTGTGATTTCGATCGTTAATTAAACATCTGAGAACGTTTAGATGTGTCATCTGTCTGGTCAGTAACCACTTCAATTATTCGGTTCCAGGGCATGGCGTTCACAGGCGACACTCTTCTTATCCGGGGCTGTGGCAGAACAGACTTCCAAGAAGGCTCAGCTCAAACTCTGTACAACTCGGTACACAACCGTATCTTCACGCTACCCGACCACTACCTCCTGTACCCGGCACACGACTACCGAGGGCAAACTGCCACCACGGTGTGGGAGGAAAAGAAATACAACCCCAGGCTAACCAAACCGTTGAAGGAGTTCATCCATATCATGGACAACCTGAACTTGCCTTACCCGAAAATGATCGGTGAGTTGATTTTGAAACTTTAATATTAATTACTAGCTTCTGCCAGCGGCTTCGCCCGCGATCCCAGGGGTAAAATGCCTATGTATCACTTCAGACCATAATCTACCTCTGTTCCGAATTTCATTCCGGTCCCTTCAGTCGTTTTAATATGACTGAGTAACAAACATACACATAAACTCACATATTTTCATTTATAATATCGAGTCAAGCTAATTTCAACCATTGGCCTTTCAGTTACAGCGTTAAGTCTATGAATGAGTATTGTAAACGTTAGAGTAGACAAATACAATCAGAAATCACCGAATTGCTAAGCTATCGGGAGTTTCACGTGTTATTGTGAGTCAACCATAAAAGATAGACATATGCTGTCGAGGAATATTTTTTATATAATTTTAAGGAGAATATTTCCGTCATACATGATATCTATGTAGCTTTAACCTATAAGCCTGCACACGTGACGGAAGCTTAAAAAATGGAGTAACTTCTCCCGTTTTTCCAATATTTCCCTTTACTGCTCTGCTCCTATTGATCGTAGCGCAATGAAAAGTATACTATAACCTGCCCAGGGGTATGAAGAATAATTGTGCCAAATTTCGTTAAAATCCGTCGAGTAGTTTTTGTTTCCATAACGAACATACAGACAGACAGACAGACAGACAAAAATTTTACTGATTGCATTTTTGGCATCAGTAGCGATCTCTAACCACCCCTTGATAGTTATTTTTTAAATATATTTTATGTACAGAATTGACCTCTCTACAGATTTATTATAAGTATAGATTACACCTTGAATATCTTTGTCCTTTGTTCTATTGCTGTCGTGATACATACAACTGTTTGACGAGGTGACTTGACTGGTTACAAACCACGCTGGGAGCTCATGGACATGAGCAACATACAAGTTACTTCGCCCGTAAACCGTACACCAAAATTAGTTAATTATTGACTAGCGACCTGCCCCGGCTTCGCATGGGTGTAATGTACATGTATTATACATAGAAACCTTCCTTAAGAATCATTCTATCTATAAAAAAGACCGCATCAAAATCCGTTGCGTAGTTTTAAAGATCTAAGCATACATAGGGACAGACAGACGGCGGATAGCGACTTTGTTTTATACTATGTAGTGATGCTGTTACGCGTTTTACTGTAGGTTACATTGGCATAAGTCAAAGTAAGATCTTGCAATAATCATGCAATGATGACTTGCAAGAATTATACCTACAAGTTTTTTTGATCTGCCTTTTGGTCACGGTTTTTGCTCGTGACGTCACGCTGTTTTTTTCATTGTAGACAAAATTACAAGTCATTGTAGTAGTCATGTTAATCATAAAAATCATACGTAGTAGTCAGTGCTGAGTTTAAGAATTCATAGTTTCCAAAAACTTAGTGTATGTATGCAGATTTGAAAATTAAAATATTTGTTCGACTGTTATCAAATATTCTGGTAATAACGACTTATCTTAACGCTGTTTGAACTCAATAAAACCATAGGATTTGGAGCAGTCAAACGGATTTATAAAGATTGAATTGTCAAACAGCTTACTTACAATAAGAACACAAGCGAAACGGCGTATAAAATAGAAAAAAAACTAGAATAAATATTGTAAAACATAAAACTTATCAACCCTTGGTGTATCGGAACGCGTATCTATGCGAGACACAATGTGTGTCATATACTGACATTCAAGCGTTAAAGGAGAGAAAAACTAAAATACAATATTTTTGTTTCAGACAAAGCCGTGCCCGCGAACAGAGTCTGCGGAATACATTACTAAATACTACTAAACTTGTTTAGTAAACTACTAATCACATTTTAACTAACCCCATATAATGTAGATGGCCAGTGATGTGATATTTGATGGAATTCCTTAAAAATCTTACATAGTAAGTGCATATTATATTACTAGCAATAGTTTATTCATACACGACTCGGTCGAACACAAATTTTTACAGTTCAAAACTGTTTTTGCGATATTTTTATTTTTTTTTCTTTAATTGCTCACCTCAAACTTACTATATAATTATGTACTACATAATTAGGCTGATAATAATATGAGAAAAATGGCAACAAACATCCCAATTCGGACTTTCATGACAAAAAAGTCTCAATTTGGTGATTGTGCCTAATCAATTTGTTATAATAATATGGTATTTTTATCAGATATTCTGAAATGATCAACAAACGGAATGTAAACTGAGTGCCAAGCATTAATAACTATCGCATTTTATCGTAACAGTATCGAGCGAGTTAAGCGTTCTGATTGGTTGGTTCACGTGAGCCGGCCAATCAGAGCGCCGAACGCGCTCGATACTATTACGTTACGAATACGATAGTTATTCGTGCTTGGCACTCTGAACTGAATATGTTTCGATGGCGAAATTCTGTGTCTATCATTAAATTTTTTTGGAAATCTGAATCATCTCTTAATAGGATACATGACCCGGTTTCTTTTGGGAATTAAAGTTGTATGTATGTCTAAAATACTGAATGGTTTTATACATTTGGGAATGCAATACTAGTAGTTCTGTTTTTGTTTAGAACTTTACCTTTAAGAACATCGTATCAAAGGCAAGCCAAAGTTTGTAAAGAGTATTTTTATAGGTTTTCTTCTGCTAGGCTTTTAGATAACTTTTTTCACAATATAGTTCTGTTATCGACTCTAGTAGATTTAGACGCAGTCTGTGATAACCTTGTTTTATAAAAAAAATACAAAATTGTACATTCTCTCAGAAAAGAATGTATAATTTCCTAGTAATTCTTTACGGCGACAGAGATTATCTTAATTGTAAAGTAGACAAATCAATTGTATATTTTGATAAATTATTTTTCTATAGTCTTCTACTTAAAAAAATATTGGTAAAGATTTATTTATCATTGTTTAAGCGAAAATGTTTTTATCTGTTCTTTTTGTGAATAAATAAGTTTTGTTGATACATTATGTAGTTTTATTAAAATAGCTCTGGTATTTGTGGATGACGCTATGTATGGTGGTAAAAGTTCATTTTTGTCTTTGTACCTGTGTGGCCTGTATACTCGTGGTACTTAAGACGGTTGTCTTGCTATCGCTACCCAGTGATTAACAGATGCCGTCATCTTGATGACACTGATAAGGTCTTATCATTTTTACCCGACTGTAGGAGGAGTATTATCTTTATGTTAGTTTTCACTTCGATTTCAACTCAAACAGTATCAGAAATTTATCTGTTAGCATTAATAGCCTATTGCTCGATATACGTGAATACTGAAATGATGGAATTGATACACTTATACAGCGCTGGTTTCTACAGTCAGTTTCAGTTTTAAACTCAATATCTGTACACTGTTGTGATTATAAATAAATAATAGAAAAAATACGTGCATTCAAATTTGTAAAAGCAAAAAAAAAAAACGATTTTACGAATATTTATTGTATAAAAGTGTTAATTACAATAATGAAAATAACACAATAATGAAAATAACCTAATTGGACATAATATTTCGATCTAATTGTAACTAATGCAATATCGACTTATCGTCTTAATTTTATGTACCCCTATATAACTGGCACTATCTTAGATGTAGCTATCGAGAACATGGTCAGTACATGTGTAGACTTAATTTACTTCAGTTTGCCGACATTACATTAACAGTGAAAGTCCCCCTGAGTGTTTACCTAGCACCCCAAGCCCCCAAGTACAGGGGTCTGGCCCTGACATTAGCCAAATGCCGCGGAAACAGGGGACGCAATTAATGGCTTTTTTGATATATCGGAAGTGCCCTTGTGACTTGAACTATAGGTAACATAAGTTGCGAAATGTTGTCGTTCTGCGGTTTCTTTTGTAAATAGGTATCTAGTATCTGGTATCTAGTATAGTATCGAGAATATGAATAGCATAATCTAAACACTTAAATGTCCAGTTCCAGTTGGAATCTAATCTATTTCATAAGTTTGTTACATTTTTTTTAAGATTGTATATTTTTAATTCAATAGACATAAATAAAATTAATACATATTAACTAAATGAAAATATATACAACTTAAAATATAAATAACTATGAACTAAAATATTTACACCTTAAAAGTACATTCTAGTTTGTTACATTAATTCATGTTTTCCTCTTCCTACTTCTTTGGGGATTCATTGCGGGATTTTATATTATGTTTATGCCAATTATACTATGTTATGAGCTCATGTGATGGGGGGCGAGGTTATTGCCATGCCAGGCGTTATTCGACAGTTCGCTCCGTGTTACTGAATGTATATGAAAAATTCGAATAATTTGTTTGAAAGTTAAACCTGTACGAGCCCCTTTACGTATGATGTAGTCACAAAATATTTGCTTAGGTACTTAAATATTTTTTTTTCAGTTTAGATTAGTTATCTCTTTTTAGTTAACGGGTAACTCGCTACACAATTTTATCCCGGCAAATCTCAAAATCAATCCATAATTTGATCAGATTGCTAGGGAGTGGAGTAGAAGATGATGATATATGTTTATATTTAAACACCATACCCGTAGATATGGGGACTAGGGGTAAAATATGATATATGGTTGTATACCGTGATTCTGATACCTCGACCGGCCACGATTAGTCACGGAAGGGGAGTGAAGTCCACACTGAGTCAGTACGGAATCTCATTTAATTTGAGCGTTGGGGTGAATATTGTCAATTAAACGAGGAATAAATTTTGAAAAGATTGCATTTATTGGACTTTCGTAAGCCTTAGTCGTAGTCGTAGACACGGGATGGTTTTCAGTCAGTAAGAGTTTGATTTCTGTGAGTTTGATACTCTGTCCTGCTCAATCCAAGGCGGGTGTAGCCATTGGACGATTTTCCCCACATAAAAAAGAGGTGATGACTGCAGAGTAAATACATTTGTCACTATTTACCCCAGTTCTTCCTGTGGGAGGCGTTAGGGCTGTCTATGGGACAGAAACCACGCTGCAGCGCTCACCGTTAACCTGAATCTTTTAAATTATGATCTCCGACTCTGTTGCCAAGACTATGGTAAACCAAACCCTCATATTTGCACTGAGCTGGCGGTTGTCGCAATGGTTGGGCAATCGGCTGCCGCGCTACGTGTGGTTTCGATTCTCGCACGGAGCAACGCTTGGTGTGATGAACCAGATTGTTGTCTCGGGTCTGGGTTTTACGTGTAGGTATGTGAAATTGTATGTTTGTAAATTTATCCACGACCGAGGAGAAAGCTGTAGGGTATATCCAGCGTCCTTTTTTAAAAAAAATAAATATCATGCAGAGAAGGGTCTGAAGTCCAGGCGTGAACTGTTTGGGGCTGTTGATCAATGATGATTAAAGCGCCAGGGTACAATTTGAATAGTTGTAGCTATGGCTACTAGAAGGTCGACTAGTCGTGTCCTAATTATGCTCACTACGACACTACCTAATTAGAAACGTTTCATTACAGCGCCAACTCAGATTTTACCATCCAACTACTGATAGGAATACCAAATAAGGTACCTACTGGAGCAATTTTAACTTGCCATGTATTACTGTAGTACCTACATTACGTAATATTTAATCAAAATTGCTAATGCTAATTATCTATTAATTCCTGAGAGTGTACTACGATATCAGTTCAGGTAAGTATGTGTAGTAAGCAAAAACTATAATGATGCGCAAACTTACTTAAAAATTGAGTTGCTAGAAGTAGGTACGTAACTGCAGCTATCAATTTCTATAAATTAGGTACTATCGATACCGAACAACTGCTGCGACAAGTTTTCAGGGAAATTTCAGTTTGCATTACATAAGTACCTACTAGAACACGTTATGGGTTGTTAAAGGTTGCTATAAAACCGATAAAGTTGAAAAATGATGACGTCACCGTTACAGAGATGACGTAACATAAAGTTGGAAAACTGTAATTCACCTAAATCTTTCCCGTCCCTCCAGGCCGATTTGGCGCCTCTTCAAGAATATAAGGAAGACAGAGATTTGAAGTTACTATGCCCCAATTCGTCCCAATTTGTTAGTTCGATGGTACAAGTTCTAGAAAACTTGCCCTGACTCATTGGCACGTATGAATATTTTAATGTTTCAGTCATGCGAATAGTTTGACGTCACTACGTCAGCAAACTATTGATTACCTCGAAGTTTTCCTTGCAAGACCTAAGTAAACGTCTTACAAGCTAAGCGGGTGGATAATATATTAAGTGACTCGGACGCCATTATTAATCACTGGACCGTCTCGGGAAGGAGCTTGGTAAAATAACGCAACAGCTTGCGTCGTTAGACAGGGCTTTAAGCCATAGACTCACTGACTGAGCTCATTACTGCGCAGGATAGCCGTACATGGCCGCTGGATAACCGATAGCCCCTTATAGGATAAAGAATGGTTATGGGATCAGGAAGGCGTTTGGCTGGCATTTAGTATGATTTATACTTGATTTATAAGTACTTAACAAAATAGCTTTTCTGTAGTTCATTAGTAAGAACAGTGAAAAATGATTAAATTTTTGGGATTTTGTGAATTGTGATTGTGGATTTACATAATATATGTATTGCAAAATTTTCTAAATTACTGTTTAATCTTAGCCTTATCATTGTCGCACGTAGGTACATAGACGATGAAGCACATGTTAATTATCTAGGTATTTGTCACATTTTTCCAGTGGTCACAATCATCGCAAATGTCCCACAAAATCAATGATAGCAAATACATTCTCATTTGAAAGTCCATCTGATACTTCCTGTAGAAAACAACAAACAATTCCTTTTAAACAGACCATTACTTACTGAAGTCGAACTGGTTCGGCTCGCGACAAATCCGA